GGCAGGGTGGGATGGGGGATGGAGGGGGTGGGAGGTATACTGGAATCTGTGGGGGTGGAGATTGGTACTCGATCATAACTGAAACCCAAGGACAACAACTTCTAAGTCTACAACTGTACCTCATGGTGCTTCACTAAGAGCGATAGCACAGCGGGTAGGGCGTTCGCCTTACAAGCGGCCAACATGGCTGATCCGAGTTCGATTCCTCCGCCCCTCTCGGAGAGCCCGGCAAGCTACCGAGAGTATTCGATATGCCAGACACAGTAACAACAAAGTCTCCAATGGAGATGTTACTGGGCCCGCTCGAGCAAATCGACGATCAACGGGAGGCCCTTTACCTTTTATATTCCAAGGGAGGGCTATAGAAGGATTTCTATCTGTACCATGGTGCTGGTGACCTGAGCAACACAGGCTTAAATTGCGATGTAAATAGTCTTTTAATATCCAGCTCGGAACCTTGCATTCAGACAGGTAGCGAGTGAAGAGCCGAGCCAGTGTATTGATGAGTACTGACCGCAGGTTCTTCAGGTGTTCAGGTCTGACCTTGTCTGGGCCGGGTGCTGTTTGTTTCTTTACCGACGAAATGGCGTGTCGGATTTCGGAAGGGAGAACGTTGGGAACGACATACCCATCCTGTGGAATTTGGTATGTCGGCAAGTGGACATGGCTATCGAAGAGATTTGAGTAGAAGTCATGGATAATCTTCTCCATTGCCGTTCTGGAGGATGTGATGGATCCATCAGGACGTCGGAGGGCAGTCATCTTGGTCTTATAGTTGGCGAAGGACAGGCGGGCGTTATGAATACTTTTCCCGGCTTCTGCCGCATCTACCAGTACTTCTGCTCTTCTCTCTTTGAGGTCTTCCTTGATCGCATCTCTGCACTGCTTTGCAAGCTCGGACGTTAGCTTGTGGTTGCCTGAGGCATGCGCCAAACCACACTGGCGAATTAGCTCAAGAGTTTTCGAAGATAGGCAACTTTTTGTGGCTATCTCTCTCTTGGCGTTCCTTGCACATTCATGGAGGTGCTGAACCAGTCGATCGTATTCCTCGTCAATGTTGTCAACAATGGCATCTTCCCATGTTGCCGCAATAGTACCAAAGAGTTCCCAGTTGGTGGTCATTCTGGGAGTTCTCCTTTTGAACTTTGCAGCCCTTTCTCCCCGCTCTGTGAAGTAGAATTTTGCACGAAGGAGACGGTGGTCCGATCCCGTTCGAAATTTTGGGACAACAGCGACATCAGTCAGGCAAAACCGTCGATTGAATATGATGTGGTCTATTTCGTTGTGGAATCGTCCACCAGGAGACTCCCATGTCCATCGTTTAGATTCTGCCTTCTGGAACTGTGAGTTACCATGAATGGTCTTGGTCGACATGATGAACTCAGACAGTCTCTCACCTCATTCTAGGCCATGGGTCCCGATGTGAAGTTCTTCAGCTGATCTTCTCGGTCCTATCTTGGCATTAAAATCACCCACAATGATCTTGTAGAAGGTGTGGTCTTCTTTATAGAACTTCTCTAGCTCCATGTAGAACTTCTCGATTTCTCTTTCATCATAATGAGATGTTGGTGCGTAGACAACAAAGATAGAAACTGCAGGCAGTGAGCCACATCTATTCAAATGTAAACGTCCGATTCGGGTTGTTAGGCATTCGAATGAATCAATGCTCTTGGCCAAGTTTGTGTTGACAAGGACACCGACGCCTCCAACACCTCTTTTATCGCATGTTCCGAGGAACAATTCTTCTCCAGTGTCGAAAACGGCATGGTGAGATTCATGTCTTCTTGTCTTGGTCAGATCAATGATGTCGTACTTGATCATTCACGCTTGTACCATCAGGTCCTCGATGGATGCATATGATGCTAGCGTACGTGCATTGAAAGTACAGACGATCATTTTTGTCTTCCTTCGTTGTGGCAGCCTAGGTCAGCCTTGAGATTTTGTCGGCCTCTCCTTTCTCATCCTTCTCAGTGCTGCCATGTCGGTGAAGCCTTCAGGGTCAGGTGAATGAGACCAGTTGTAGTTACTGGTTTTGGCATAACAAATACACAGCGGATAGCTTGCCAGGCTCTTCTGTGCGGGCGGAATACTCTCGGTAGCTTGCCAGTCTTTCCGAGAGGGATAGAGCCTTTTGGGGTGACCTCTAATCCCCCTTGTAGGTGTTACCATATTTGAACCCTATCAAATATGGTACGACAATTCCAGAAGATGGGTATTTAGTGTCTTATGATGTGTCGCGCGGCCGCTTGCGGCCGCGCGGGTCCGAAAAACGTCCTGGAGTGGAAGTAGTGTCAAGAGTGGAAGTCTGCCAGTGGGGTATTTATCTGGGTAGGGTGGGTCTCCTGTGCACAATTAGATCCCTGGGTGGTTGATGGAAGCAGACAGGGCAGGGTAGGGTGGGGCTCCTGATTGGAATCCCTTTGTCACCTGTGGTGGTGGGAGCAAGCAGAGAAGCTCTGTCCCTGGGTCCGCCGAGCCTGGAGTCCAAGGTCTCAGAGAGTTCCGCTTATCTTGTTCTGTGGGTCTTCAGTCATGCGTGGGTCTCGGCTGGAGCTGCCGCGCGGGTCCGGAAAGCGTCCTGGAGTGTGGTGACGGCTGGGTAGTGGAAGTAGTGTCCCAATGGAAAACCAGCAGGACCGTACTACTGTTCAAGAAGGGAGACATCTATGACATTGGCAACTATCGCCCGATCTGCCTATTTTCTGTCATCTACAAGTTGTTCACTCGACTCATCTTGAATAGGATTGGCAGAACACTAGATGAAGGACAACCATGCGAGCAAGCAGGATTCCGCAAAGGATTCAGCACCATCGACCATATCCACATGATAACCAAGCTCATTGAGGTTTCTAGGGAGTTCAAGATGCCGCTCTGCTTAACGTTCATTGATTTAAAGAAGGCCTTTGACTCTGTTGAGACGGAAGCGGTCATTGAAGCCCTAGCCAATCAGGGCATTCAAGCCCAATATATCAGGATCCTCCGTGAGCTGTATTGCAGATTCACTACCAGGATCTCACCATTCTACAAAGAAGTGATCGTTGATGTCAAGAGAGGGGTGCGGCAGGGTGATACCATTCAACCGAAACTCTTCAGTGCCACCCTCGAGAACATCATGCGACGACTAGAATGGGAAGGAATGGGAGTGAAGATAGATGGTCGGCAACTACACCACCTCCGCTTTGCTGATGACATTGTTTTAATAACACCAAACATCAGTCAAGCGGCACAAATGCTGGCCAACTTTGACCATGAGTGTGGAAAGGTAGGACTACAGCTGAATCTTACGAAGACAATGTTTATGAGAAACAGCCTTGTTCCTGACGCCCCATTCGCTCTCAATGGAACGACCATCTCCGAATGCAACAGCTATGTGTACCTAGGTTGAGAGGTCAACATGAGAAATGACCTGGCACCCGAGCTGCGCAGGAGGAAGAGAGCGGCTTGGAACGCCTTCAAGAACGTCGAAGAAATAGCTAAGAAGACGAAGAACCTCCGGCTCCGGGCACATCTCTTTGATTCCACTGTTCTTCCTTCATTAACATATGCCTCAGAGACCTGGGCCCTACGCAAACAAGATGAGAACACTATTCAGGTCTCCCAAAGAAGAATAGAAAGAGCTATGCTTGGAATATCACGTTTCACTCAAATGAGAGAACGAATCCGGAGTTCTGATATCCGTCGACGATCAAGGATCAGGGACGCTGTCTCATTTGCCAAGGTGTCGAAAATCAGATGGGCTGGTCACGTAATGAGATTTAAAGACGACCGTTGGACTAGAGCTGTTACTGATTGGATTCCACGGGATGTCAAGAGACCGCGTGGCTGCCCACCTACCAGATGGTCAGACTTCTTCGTCAAAATCATGAACGATCGGTTTGAGGCCCTTCATGTTCCCGGAGCGAACAGATGCCATTGGGCTACACTAGCACGCAACAGGGACAAATAGAGACGTTACTGGCGCCCGCTCGAGCAAATCGACGACTAACGGGAAGTTAAGTGATTAAGTGATATCCAGCTCAATTGTTTCTTGGGCCCTCACTCCACCACCCGTGTCCCAAAACCCTATGCATTTTACTTAAACACCATGGTTTAGAGGGTTGTTCAGGATGACTGATTACAGGCATTCAATATTCCAACACCCACCCACCTTCCTCCCACCATTGTCGCCATTGTCCCAACCACCCCTCAAGCCTGTGTTCCTAGCAGGCAGGCAATAATTTATTTTAAATTGCTTTTTAATCCCTAAAAAATGATCAAAAATTTTTCTGTAGAAGAATATTTGTGAAAATTTTGTGTCTCATCATGGAGACATAAAGTCTTTGCCTGAGGGTTTTACTAAGCTGTTGTTGCAAGTTAACTTTTGTTGTTAATACTTGAGATCGATTGGTCTCTACTTTGCATCCCATCCATCTACTACTGGCATATCAGTAATGTAGATGATGAAGATGCATTTGCTGTTATGTGCTGTAGAAACTCAAGAGCTCTTAACTGGGTTGTCTGGTTGAAGTTCAATTTTTAACTGGAATGTGGCTTTAAGATGTGGGAGTGACTGAAAGGTTTTATCTGGGCAAAAGATGGTCCACCCATCTCCCTCCACGAGCACCCATACCTCTCAGTCGGTAATGGGTGTTTCAGACATATATATAAAAATTTATTTTGTTTCTAGGTTATCTCTTTTGAGATTTATTTGAGTCTCCGCAACAGGACAAATAGATGAGGATCTTACATAGTGGCAGAGGTTGGAAGTGAGTGACTTTTAAAGTTTAATTAGCTGAGTAAAACTATCTCAGCATGAGTTTATCTCTGCATGAGTTGCTTATTGTTATGGAAAGTTCAAAAGAAGGTTTAAATTCAGCTAAGTTAAATAGAAAATTGTTGGATAGATAACTATGAAATAAAAAGTGCTTCCAAATAAAATTTCTACATGCTCAAAGAGATTTGTATTGGAACAGGGTTATTATCTGAGTTTCAAAACAGATGAAAGGTTTTGTACCACTTCCTCATCTGCCTCTATTACTGTGATAAGCATTACTGTACCAAGTCATACAGTAATAGTCAGCCTCATCCTCAGTCTGCAGCCCAGAGATGTGCAGCAGTCCCGCATTGCCTGAGGTGTCTTTGGATCCAGAGTAGCGTTTGGAAACTCCAGATCCCAACTCTGTACTTGTGTAGTAACTAAGGAGAAACCTGGGAAAGTTCCCAGTCTTCTGTTGATACCAGTTTATTCTATAACTGCCAACACTGATACCACTTTTCAGGGTGCAGGTGAGTTTGACTGTTGTTCCAGGAGATGCTGAGACTGAGGGCTCCTGAGTCAGCACAGTCTGGGAGAGGGACCCTGCAAAGATAGACTTGTATTATCTTCATGTAAGAATCGAGTTCAATTCATCAATACTATGAACAAAGAGGAAGTTCTATCAGGCAGATTCTTGAGTCCTATCCATACCTGTGCAGTGAAAGAGGAGCGTGAGCAGGAGAACTGTCCAGGCCATGGTGTACACCACCCTCTGATCCTACAATGGGCACTGACTGCCCCACACCTACTTTTCTCCCTCTGCCAGAGGAGGAGCTGTCCATGCAAATCAGTTAAATTTAATAGCTGCACATCTCCTGCTGAGTGTGTTAATGGGGCTCAGCTGACACTCCAGACAGAAAGGACAGAGTTTTGAGAGGCAGTTCTGGGAGGAAGCGCCTGCAGAGAGCACACACAGGTCCTAGCCCAGAGGACACAGGAGCTGAATCCCACGCATTGTTCACAGGCACGGGCCCCAGGACTTGTTGCTCTGAGTTAATGGTTCTCACTTAGCAGCTGTGCTCAGAAAGTAAGGGAGTTCCACAGCATCTCCTGTTGGCTGGGTTTGAAAAGAAGAGAAAAAATATCCTGACTGCTTCTATTACTGAATATGTATAACCCGTGTTTGTCTAGAAAGATGCGAAATTTGCTGTATTTGAAATAAGTAAAATATTTGTTTTCTTAAAACATAGGAAAAGTTATTTTGTAGGCATTGCACAGAATGGCATGCAATTCAGATAATTTGACATTAAATATCAAGATGTTATATTTTAAGTTTTTTTACTCCACGTATTCTTTTTCCATTTACTATTTGGGCCCACAACTGGCAGTGCTCAGAATCTCCAGGATCTGTACTCAGAAATCACTTCTGGTGATCACCCTTGGGACTATTTGGGATTGCTGGCTTGAGCCCAGTTGTTCATGTGCAAGGCAAATGCTGAATCAATGAATTTCAAAGAAGAGAAATATTCTAACTCTTGTGATATAGTTATAATAGTAGTAAACATAGCTTACTAATATTTATCCAATTATAAAATTATGAAAAAAGTTATATGTTATGAGGGCTGGAGCGATAGCACAGTGGGTAGGGCATTTGCCGTGCATTCAACCAACCCAACTGACCCGAGTTCGATTCCTCTGCCCCTCTTGGAGAGCCATGCAAGCTACCAAGAGTATCTTGCCTGCACAGAAAAGCTTGGCAAGCTACCCATGACATATTCGATATGCCAAACACAGTAACAACAAGTCTCACAATGGAGACGTTACTGGGCCCGCTCGAGCAAATCGATGAAAAACGGGAGGACAGTACTACAGTGCTATAACTGTTGTAAATCAATTTTTAAAACTGTAATGAAGGGTTAATGAATTGGTTAAAGGATAAATTAGTATTCAGAGCCTGGCAAGCTCCCCGTGACGTATTCGATATGCCAGACACAGTAACAACAAAGTCTCCAATGGAGACGTTACTGGGCCCGCTCGAGCAAGTCGATGATCAACGGGAGGGCATTACTTTACTTTACTTATATTGCAATGATGCATGTTTGATCCATATTAAAATACTTTTAAAGTGATATTCCATGTTAACACTTTAATAAAGTGTTTTCTCACAGTTGATTCATGATCAAATACAAATAAATTCTAAAAAGCCAATATAGAAGTAAACATGAAATTTTGACATTGCTCTCCTTGTTTATCTCTCTCACACACATATGCATACAAACTCATGTATATACTATAGATATATTTCATGATACAGATGAGAAAAGAGGAGCTTTATCTTCATTATTATTTCACATTTTAATATGAAATTATTAGAAAATATAAAATAAGTGATGGGAATTGTATACTTTAGTCGTATGTGAATGGAAATGTGCTTCTTATTTTGCATTTGTAGTTTTGGCGAGATGCATGCATTTTACATGTTATAAAGAGCCATTAAATGTAGGCTAGTTTAAAAAAATTTTAATTCCCGTCTCTTCTGATTACTTCATTTAGCATGTTGCTCTCCAGATTCATCCATGTAAGAGATAATTGCATGATCTCGTGTTTTCTCATAGCTGAGTTGCACAAAGGAAAGAAATCCCTGTCTTGGCATTTGTTTGATCAAACTTACCCTAGCAAGTAACTCTTCACTGTGCTTCCCAGACAGGCCCTATTAATGGGACCCAGTTACACAGTTACCACTGGTGCTTTGCTGAAGGAGATTCTTCTTGCTGCAGATTTTGACAGTGAGGATGTTTGGGTCAAGAGAGTTTGATCACTGATTCTGAAGGTACAAAAAGAAGTCCCACAGCTTCAGAGTTCAGAACAACAGTGTAAGCAGAAGAGTGTCTATGTGTGAGGAAGGACACACAGTCATCTTTCAGAGAGACATTCTCTCAGCGACCTGAGGTTGAGTGGGCTTATAGCATTATTTGTTATCTCACTACTGACACTTTTTCTCCAAGGAAACCATACTGCAGTTGACTATGTTAGACCACTGAGATTCTGGGCCTGAAAACTGACAAGTATCTCAAAGCCACTTCCAATGAACCAGTCAAGCTTTATTTTGGTCCAGAGAAGAAATTTGGACTTTATCAGTTCTGTTAACAAACCCTGAAAATTCAAAGACATGGACATACACAAAGAAGAGAGAAAGTTTCTTTCAGGCAATTATCAGAGAAAGAAGTGGGATGAGCTATGATGGGTTATGGAGGAGAAGAAATAGGTCAGAAAATAACAGGAACTTGTATTTATTTATCTCTTTCACCTAGGTGGACAAAGTAATGGAGGCCAGACAATAAAGTCAGCTCTATGAGAGCAATATACGCAAATTGTAGTCCACAGAATGTCAGAATTCTAACTGGTAAAATCAGAGTGAGATTCCTGAAAACAAATCAATACATACATACATGGTCTTTGTATTTATTTTGATTCAGAGTTCAAATTTGCGGGAGTAAAAAAACTGTAATCTGAAAGTGACTTGCAAATCAAATTAGTGCATATTCAGAACATGAAAACTGGATAAGAGTCAGAGATCAGACTCCTGAATCGTTTGAGGTTTTCAACCACTTCCCCCCTTGTACGTGTGTCACTGAGAGAATTCCAGTTGCAATCAGCCATGGAGTAATAGTTAGCCTCATCCTCAGGCTGCAGCCCAGAGATGAGCAGAATCCCTGTCTTAGCAAAGGCATCTTTGGATCTAGAAAAGCGAGTAGGGACTCCAAGGCCCAGGCACTTGTCTGAGTTACCATGGTAGTTAGGGAGATAAGAACTTCTTGGCTTCTGCTACTGCCAGCTAAGCCTGTGGTTTCCAACACTGTAGCCAATGATCAGGCTACAGGTAAGTCTGAGTGTTGTCCCACAAGATGCTGAGAGTGACTGTGGCTGAATCAGCACAGGCTAGGAGAGGGTACCTGCCAAGACACTCATAATTCTGGGAATGAGTCAGGGTCTGAGTCATCATTCTTCTAAGGAAGGTTGTGGGGTATGTCGGGGCTGCCTCTTTGGGTCTGATCCTACCTGTACAATGAGAAAGGTATACAAGTAGGAGAGGAGCCCAGGCCCTGGCACACACCAATCCCTGATCCCACCTCTGAGAATCATCTATCCGTGTGCCCTTTTCTTCTATGTCCATATGTCAGAAGAGGGACTATCTCTGCAAACAAGTTTCCATCCACTAGTTACCCATCCTCTCCCTGAGCCCTGGATCTAGAGGCCTACTCTCAGACCAGAGTCAGCAGGGTGGAAATTTGCCTTCCCCCTTGGGAGAAACCAAAACAAAGCACCTGCGGAAACTAAAGTCCATGCTCTGGTGACTCTGATAGGCCAGAGAAGGTGCAGCTGCAGAGTTCTCAAAAGTGAGTGCACAGGGAACAGCCATCAGGCCAGGCAGCAAGTTTACTGATCTCACTGAACCAAGGAGGAAGAAGCACAGGAAGTTCCACAGTGCCCCCTGCTGATTGTATCTTTAAAAAGTGAAATAAAAATAAAATCGAAAAACATCTCATGGACTAGCTTAATAACTACTTTTAAGTAATATACAACATTTTTTATTTGAGAAAATTAAAGTGTATGTAAAAGCAAGTGGAGCTACCTTCTGGACCAACACAAAATATAGAAAATTTCATGGGAATACTAAACAAACTCTTAAGATTACATGGTTAAATTTTACTTCAAAGTTTTCGTAAGGGCTAGCATGGTAAACAGGCATATTTATGTCCAGAAAAGTGAGCCCTAACCTTGGTCCTTGTCTGAGTCAGTGTACTAGCTCAGGAGATCCTGCAGTGGGCTTCCTGGTTTCTGTTGTGCCAGTTGATCCTGTATTTTTCAACTCTTGTTTTGAATGCGGCCGCCCTAGGTTCTAATCCTTGCCAACCCATATGGTCTCCTGAGCCTGTCTGGAGATGCCTGAATGATCCCTGAGATTCCTGAGCAGATGCTCGAGTATCAGTAGTTGTGACCCCAAAACAAACAAAATGTTTTTTCATAACATTTTAGAGAAGGAAATGTTATCGATTTTTTTTGGAAATGAATAATACAATACTAAATAATCCAATCAAATGAATTTCAAAAACTTCAATTATATATTCTTACAATGTAATTTTGTTTGGATTTTCAGGTTGTACAGCTCTGTGATTGGGAATCACCCTTGGAAGGCTTCAAGGTCCATGCACTTCTGGGTACCTTACTCATGTTTCTGGTGTGAATAGCATGGTGGGACTCATACAGCCCTCAATCAATTTTAACGAGAAATTAAGCTACTTTACAAATAACTAAGTTACAAGAAATTATTGAAATTAAGTCAAAGAAGTTTTTTGGTGTTTTATAAAAATTGATTGTTCAAAGGTTTTCTTATGCTGTATGTCTAAAAATGCATATTTATTTTGAATAGATTATTAGAATATCTGACCTACAAAGTCTTGTGAGTGGAAATAATTGTGGTACATAAAAAGAGGTTCAGGGGCTGGAGCAATAGCACAGCGGGTAGGGTGTTTGCCTTGCACGCTTCCGACCCGGGTTCGATTCCCAGCATCCCATATGGTCCCCTGAGCACCGCCAGGGGTAATTCCTGAGTGCAGAGCTAATAGTAACCCCTGTGCATTGCCTGGTGTGACCCCCCAAAAAAAGAAAAAGAAAAAATAAATAAAATAAAAAAGAGGTTCAAAGAGCAATGGTTTAGTTTAAAACATGGGTTACTAGAGTTATAAAATTGGTTGC